CATCACTAACGGTCTTAGACAGTTACTAAAGGATACTAGCTCATAAAATTTTAACCTAAATTTTTTAAAATTAAATTCCTGTACAAATTATTCTCTGCCCAATCTGTCGAGTGAGATTTTTCCTTAGACTACTCTACGTATGGATTGTTTTAGTTTTAATATCATCGAATTATCTTAATTTAGCTAAAAAATCCTTCAGAAATAATTTTTAAAATGCTAAAAACCCGAAAAACTTAAAGTCTTTTTTAAATTTAGGGGTAAAAGATCCTAAATGCAAATCTTTCATCTATTCATTTTATCTTTTTTAACATTTCGAGGATTATCTTTTTTAAATAGTGATCAAGACCAGCATCCGGAAGGAACATTACTTTAAATTTAGGAAAGGAACTGGTACCAATACAATGTGTATGGAAAAAGTTTGGGTAAGAAAAATTGTTACAAAAAAAACGGGTGTTTTTTGACAAATTACTAACGACAAGACAGGAAACGTAAATTTTAGCCTAAATAATGTTTCAGTTTAACCACATTTCAACGCTTCGGCCTCAAAACTGCAACCATTTTATGCCGAATTCTACTGATATGAGTCAAAACTAATGTTCAAATTTTTATTTTACCTTAAATTTCAAAAATTCAACAATCATACAAAGCTTAAAGCGTGACATATAAACCATTTCTTTAGGCAAATTTTTTTTCAGCTTCAGAATCAGATTTTCATAGCCAAATTTTACACAGATTGATTCATATTTTAGGTTTTGAACTGATGAATTAGGGGTATCATCATATTTTAGGTAATAGAAAACCAATTGGAAAAACGATCATTTCCAAAAAAGCCAACACATGGTCTTTGTTAGTAAGTTTCAAGAAGTTGCAGCATTGAAAACACTAACTTTGATCTTTTGAGCGAGGTGTTGAGCTTTGAAGTCAAGTTTTGACTTTTTAGAGAGAAATAACGCTTTTAAAAAAGACCCTTACCAATTTTGAAACTTGGTGCCTAAGTCTAAAATCTTTGTTTCAAGACTTGAATTATAGATTTTCGGATTTTCTTAGTCGAGTTCATGATATTTCTCCGTTTTTCTAGAGAAAAAATTTCTTTTTCAAAAACTGTTTTTTTTCTAAGTTAACGTTTCCAGAACTGAGAGAAGTAACAATTCACAAAAATTTTAAGTTCAATTTTTCATAAGGTTATATCTACTCATTTTAATGCAAACAATTTTTTAGCTATATATTTAATCTCTAATGCAGATTGAAAACATCTAGGATATGAAATAAGTGTGGTAGCGCTATTTTGATAATAATCAGAAGAAGATGACGAGTTTCATAACTGAGCCCTTTTTGCTTTAGCAAAACTGATGCAATTGCAGCAGAGAACTACTCTTAGAAAAATAAATTTTAGCATCAAGTCAGAGCAAATTTACTAGAAAACGTTATAAGGAAAATGTATGTCTCTGTCAGCTTTCGTTCAACCTGAATAACTCAGAGACCCAACAGTTTTAATCTTTAGATTCTAAAAGTTCCATTGCCAGAAACAAGATGTGAGGTAATGATAACAAATTTTTGCATCACTAACGGTCTTAGACAGTTACTAAAGGATACTAGCTCATAAAATTTTAACCTAAATTTTTTAAAATTAAATTCCTGTACAAATTATTCTCTGCCCAATCTGTCGAGTGAGATTTTTCCTTAGACTACTCTACGTATGGATTGTTTTAGTTTTAATATCATCGAATTATCTTAATTTAGCTAAAAAATCCTTCAGAAATAATTTTTAAAATGCTAAAAACCCGAAAAACTTAAAGTCTTTTTTAAATTTAGGGGTAAAAGATCCTAAATGCAAATCTTTCATCTATTCATTTTATCTTTTTTAACATTTCGAGGATTATCTTTTTTAAATAGTGATCAAGACCAGCATCCGGAAGGAACATTACTCTAAATTTAGGGAAGGAACTGGTACCAATACAATGTGTATGGAAAAAGTTTGGGTAAGAAAAATTGTTACAAAAAAAACGGGTGTTTTTTGACAAATTACTAACGACAAGACAGGAAACGTAAATTTTAGCCTAAATAATGTTTCAGTTTAACCACATTTCAACGCTTCGGCCTCAAAACTGCAACCATTTTATGCCGAATTCTACTGATATGAGTCAAAACTAATGTTCAAATTTTTATTTTACCTTAAATTTCAAAAATTCAACAATCATACAAAGCTTAAAGCGTGACACCATAAACCATTTCTTTAGGCAAATTTTTTTTCAGCTTCAGAATCAGATTTTCATAGCCAAATTTTACACAGATTGATTCATATTTTAGGTTTTGAACTGATGAATTAGGGGTATCATCATATTTTAGGTAATAGAAAACCAATTGGAAAAACGATCATTTCCAAAAAAGCCAACACATGGTCTTTGTTAGTAAGTTTCAAGAAGTTGCAGCATTGAAAACACTAACTTTGATCTTTTGAGCGTGGTGTTGAGCTTTGAAGTCAAGTTTTGACTTTTTAGAGAGAAATAACGCTTTTAAAAAAGACCCTTACCAATTTTGAAACTTGGTGCCTAAGTCTAAAATCTTTGTTTCAAGACTTGAATTATAGATTTTCGGTAACGAAGTTTTTTGTTTCAAGTCCAAATTTTGTGAAAGAAAATTTTGTACTCAGGAATAACTTTCAAAATCTAAAACCAAGTGTTTGATACTTAGTTTGAGCGTATCAATTAAATCTCAAAATTAACAGATTTTTGATTTTTTGAACAGAACTGAACTTTCTGAATTTTTTGTCTCAACTTTCTGAACAGCCAAACTGCTGAGGACAAACTATTTTGTCTCAATTTTTAAAATTGAAGTCTCGATAAGCATGATGTCATACCAGGATTTGAGTTTTAAGTTGCATAGTTTTAGCTTAAAAAGCTCAAGCTTCGAGAAAAAATTTTAGGTATTTTTAGTGAACTAGCCCAGTAGTCAAAAACTTTTTGTTTAAAATTCAAGTTTTGGAGATTTTTGCATTTTTTTCGTTTCAATCTTTTGGCCTCGTATTGTTCTCATTATAAAATACCAAGTTTCATGGGAGTTTTCAGGCTTCAGATTTCAAGCCTCGGTGGTCAAAAGCCCAACTTAAACCTTCAAATCCGAAGAATTCAGCTTACGAAAGTTTGACTAAGGGCCAAAAATTAGATTATATGTTCTGTGAGCTTCAGGTTTGGGAATTCAATTAACGATTTTAGATACAAAAAAGCTCGTTTTACGAAAACTTCAATTATTTATTTAAGACAATCAAAACATTTTGAGCACAATTTAGGACTAAGTAGTGTTTTGTAAAAACAATTATAAGAAAAAAAACTTGCTATTCTTTAGTTTTACAAAAGAGACTGTTTAAGCAATCCGGAAGAAAAAAAATTGTATATAAAATCTAAACACGAAGGTTTATCTTATTCAATTTCTTGCAACCAACCTTTAGGATTTCAATAAGTTTTTGTACAAAAAATAGAATCAATTTCTTGCAACCAACATTTAGGATTTCAATAAGTTTTTGTACAAAAAATAGAAACAAAGAAAGGCGGCTTTTTAGAAAATATGTACAAAATTTGTCATTGATCAGATTGTGCTTAGTTTTCTTATTTATTGCTAGAGGTTATTTGCACCCAATGCATTTAAAAAATTTTAAATTTTTCGTTTACAATGGAACGCGCATGATCGATTTAATTTGAGTTTTATTACCGGTGTCCATAAAAATGAACAAAAATAGAATAATGAATTATATTGCTATTATTTAAAACTGCATTGAAATTCATTGCAAATCAAAAACAAAACTTCTCGTATCAGGGCGAAGCCTTGAATGTTCCGACTGCCTTTTAAGGTTTTATGGAGCAGTAATAACATTAAAAAATTAAATGTAATAAAATTAAAAAAAAATTATTTTTTTTAATTTGAAATTTTTTAAGAAAATCATCCCCCCACACGCCATTTAAAGTACAAAAAGATAGCTCCTTGTAACCAATCAATTATGGCAAATAAGCTACTTTTAACCAATTTGGAACAATTTTAAGACGGATTAACTCTCCGCTTACGCTTTAATAGCGCGAAATCTATCGCGCGTTAATTGTCCCAAATTGGCCAAAATGGCAATCTTTAAACCCCCGTAACTTTACGAAAAATAATCACAGGTAGAATATCTTTTCAAATTTAAGCTCAGGACAACAATACCTTTTGAATGATATTAAAAAAATTCCGTCAAAAATGGCTAGTTAAAAAGTCGAAATTTGTCTGAAGAAAAAAAAACCCACCCCGAGCACAAATATTCCGTTACTTTCGTATCGAAAGTCGGAACAATAATCCAATATTTTTCACTATTACACGTAGAGACAATGAAACTCCATTATAACCAATTTTTTCTACTTCATTGAGATTCGAATTTCAACGCGTATAGGATGTTTTCTACGTTTTATACTATAAATGGTTACTTATTGTTCAACTCTTACTTTTTTGCGCAACTTTGATTTTTTTACTGTTTTTATATTCTATCAGTTTCTCAAATTTGTTCGTTTCAACAATTTTGCTGTAAACCAAACCTCCGACACCACACCACATGAACCACCAAACCCCCCCCCCCCCCCTGAGTCACCCACCAGAATCATCATCCCCTCTGACCACCAATAACCGGAAGCACCTGAAGCATCTGAAAAATAGGATATTGCTAGTGTTTTCTGGGAGCTCGAAAAGTCAATGTGGCTGACATTAAAAAGAAAAATCAGCCACCCTTGATCCGCGCCTGAATTGTTTGACAAAAAATGAATGCTTTGGGTAAGTTTAGCTTTGGGTTTGACCCATCGGAGCAGATTAAGGCATTTTAGAACCCAACCTTTCAATTGCAAGCGAGTTTATAGAAAAAAAAACTGTAAAATTATTTGAATTTTGAAATGAATCTCTTAAAAATTGATAGATTTCTTCATACATCGAACAAAAATTTCAAATGTCAGTTTATAAATTGCCAGGTTTTGTGATTTCAAAATAAAAATAAATTGTTTTTGGCTAGCAAACTAATTATTTAAAGTTAATCTGTTAGTATGCCCTCATAGGTAATTAAATTCGAGTTTTTTCATTAGTTTATGTATTCTTGATCGTCGACTTGGCTTTCAATTTGGAGATCAGGGTTAATATAACCATTAAAGTCCACCCTACACATTTCGTAGCTTGTGATTTGATTCAATTCTTCAAACGCTGCAATTCGTTCCCATTTCTCTTGAATCATTCTAATTAAGTCTGCAGCATCATACGTTCCCTGGTCCCGACTTCTGTACGATAACATCCATGTTGGAAACCCTTCTTTGAGAAGAATTTTGGCGCATGTTACTAGTTGAACTAAACAACAAACTGCTCGTATCAGGGCGAGGCCTTGAATGTTCCGACTGACATTCAACGTCTTTGAAACAATTTTAAAAAAAAGACTTGGAATTTTTTTTTATTGAAAAAACAAATTATTACTTATTTTTATTTTTTTGGATAATTTTACACCACACGCAACGCCAAGCAAAAAATTATGTTCTAAGCGTCCAGAAACGTCTGAAAAACACTATTTATGCTGCCTAGAGTCAATTTGCAACAATTTATGAGCGAATTAAGCAGCCGCTTTCGTGTTAATAGCACAAAACATCTTGCGCGTTCAAATAGTTTTCAAACTAAACATGATCACTGTGCATTTAAAATTTATATATATATTTTTTTTGAGCTCAGGGCATCACTGGTTTTTAGGTTAAATAAAAAACAGCAAATCTTCCGTCACTTTCTTCGAAAATCGGAACGACAAATGGACAACAAACTTTTTGAAACGATCATTGCAGGCCACACTGTGTTTAGGGAAGATGTACAAATTGATGCGTAAATAGCCGTAGTAAGAACCTATTAAACTGGGATTGCAAATTTTGCATCCTTTTATACGAATCTTGCTAGATATCAATAACATGTTTCAATAACAATAAATGAACAAGTTTCACAACGAACTTATAACTTTAGTTTTTCGCTTTGGTCATTTTAAAAAGCTAATTGTGCTTGAATCATGCAAGATTCTGCAAAAATTGCGTTCCCAAAAACACGTAAAATTTTCACTGATAATTTATAAAAAATGCTTTTTGCGAAAAACATCTGCACTGGCAATTTTTTGCGTTGTTTGCCAATTAAAAAGATTACTCGTATCAAGGCAAAGCCTTAACAGTACTTTAACAAGACTGCTTGTAACAAAAGAAATTTTAGCACGAAATATATCACATATATTGCTAAGCTCTGCTACTTAAGTAGTGGTTTGGATGGAGTGCAGCCAGTATTTAGACAGCCGGGTATTCATACTCGTCAGTATTTAGACAAATACTGTATGAACCAATCGGAATCGAGAAAAGACATAAATAATCCAAAATAAATAATAATTATTTATTAATTTCTTCTTTGTCTCGATTCTGATTGGTTGAAACAGTATTTGTCTAAATACTGACCAGTCTGAATACGCGGTTGTCTAAATACTGATATGTAACCGGTTTGGATTCCGCCTACATTGCCCCTGGAATCTGCATAATTTGAGTTAAGTTCCGCAATATTTCAAAAAGTTTTTGAAGTCGGAAACCTGATGGAATCGAAGGACACATGTTTAAGCACTGGTTGCTAAAATTAAAATTTAGCTAGTGAGCAAAAATTAAGATCCAGTGACATTGCAGATTTTGGAGACATACGCTAAGACATGCTATGTTTTGGATTCCGCAGACAGATGCATTTCTGCAGCTGGCATGAATTGAAGCAAAATGTCACTGGATTCAACTGTTTACCAGTGGATTCCACAATCAATTTGTTCTTTTCGTCACTGGGTTCCACAATTTGGCACTGAATTCCGCAGTCAGTTTTTTTTGTCACTGGATTCTACAAGCACATTTTTAACTGTAACAACCTGTATCTGCTCGGACTAATTTTTTGTCACCTGATGTTTGTTGATTGTTGAACGTTCTCACCAGTGAACGTTTAATTTAAGTGTACGAAAAAAAGTAAAAGTCAGAAAATGAGACATTTATAAACTTCTCAAGCCCTTTTCTCATTTCACCAAGTTTTTCAAAGGACCACCTTTTTCTACCTCGTTTTACCCCTACCCCTCAGCGCTTAAGACAATTGTGATGTTTTAATTGTCTAATTTGCTGATATAATTTGTCTGCCGAATTCTAAACTAAAAGGACAAATATTCAAAGTTGAAGGGGATACGATTATACAATATAAAAATCAGGCGATAAAAAAGGGTCCGATACCTGTTGAAACAATTAAAAATGTGCCTGTGGAATCCACTGACAAAAGGTGGATTCCAGTGACATTTAATGCGGAGCACTGACTCACCACTCTGGATGCTGTAAGCAAGACCGCAGTAACCAGTCACTTTTGTCGAGGAAATGGAAAAAAAAATGAGACCAAACTAGTGAGGCAACCGAGTAAGTAGCAGGCAAACCAGCAATGAAAAACAAATTACGGATTGAAATTACGGACTTCCTTGGACAACAAATGCCCAAATGACGATCAAGATTTTGTCGGGACCAAACATCAGAAACAGAATTGAAATAAGCTGAACCCGGGCTGTTTGCCAGTAGGTTTTAATGCTATAATATTTTGACCTAAATTAACAAAATTAAAAGTTCGATTTATGCGTGACATGCAGTTTTGTCGCTACAATTGAAAATCAAAAGCTTGCTTGAAGACCTATGGGTCATCTGACATAGAAAAGCTACAAAGAACTGGCCCAACAGTCGGAAAACGTACAAAACTTTAATCAAAACGCCTCGAATTACATAATTTCTATATTGATTCAATACTGAGGCATATTCCAGAATAGTCCTTGTTTATGTGTTGTGCAACCGATTTTTTTGAATTGAGGTGTTTCATTTGATTATGAAATTGAGTTAAAATTGAGTTAAACAAACTAATTTTGAATGATTCAACTGAATTGTACCAAAACACACTATCTGAGAAAAATCAATCAGCAATAAGTCACCAGACCATTTTTGATGGCATTCCTGTTTTCCAGTTATATCCAGACATGGGGACTTCTATTTTCTTTTTATATTATTCTTTTTAGGTAGTTAATCTGGAAGTTAACCTATAACAATTTACGTGCTCCAAAAACCTTCAGTAAAATAAAAAAAATGCCTATACCCTTACCTTTGAAAAAATCACAGTTAGCACAAAATTCGGTTTCGTACATAATTGTGAAATGCTATAATTTCCTAATGTCAAACAACCTATTGCCTCTTAACCTTAACGAGTTTATTGACAAACAGAAGAAAGACTTTTACGTGAAATTAAAAAAGTGTACTTAAATGACAATCGATTACTTGTTGACATGTTTATAGGGTAAATTTCGTGTACCCTCATATTTTAACTCGGTTTTGCTTTCACTCATTTATCTAGGTTTCCCCTAGGTTACTGCTAGTTGGGCTGTACTGCCCGTACAGTAACCTTGATGCAGTATTTAAGTAAACATATGTGATCTCTATACTGTCTCTAAAATCAATTCAATTCAATTCAAAATCTTCTAATAAGAGAAACAGAATATGCTGACGAAAGGCGTGTTTTGGCCCTCAAATTTTCTGTTTTGGCCCTCAAATTTCTGATTTTGATGAAGATGATTGTCCGAGACGACCTGCAGCAGTGGAAGCTATTGTTGCTGGTTAGGTGTATTGGTTTGTAATAAAACAGAAAACAGTCAACTCTTCCTCCAAAGGCTAAATTAGATCTTTTGAGTTAAGTATGATTTACTATACTCATAGAGTAATTTCAGATAAGGTACACCGTCTGCTCGTCACGCTATCTTATTTTCGCCCGGATAGATTCGTGCAACTACTTAATCCAATACCAATCTTAATCTTACTCTTATATCTCCTAGTCTCAATAGATCTAGAGTATACTGGTTTTATACGAGTCCGTCTCTTTGGAGAAGGCAACTATATTTTAAGTTAAATTCAAATCTCTCTGGTGCTGAAACGACAGGTAGTTTCAGTACTTACAAATGAGTGGGTTGTTAGTTTGATGGCGTATGATTGGTTAGTATTCAATATTTTATGGAGATAAAATATCAGAATAAAATCCAATAATAAATTTTAGTTTAGATCTGGTTCCACCCATCCGGGGTTTACAGAGTTTTAGTTCTTCAGTGTTCTACTGTAGTGGAGGATGGATGATGGTGTTCTTTGTTAGAGGTTGCGAGCATATTCTTTTTTCCGCTTAGGAAGAAGGGTTGTTATCGGTAGTTCCAGGAAGCTGGAATCGTCGATAAGAATTTTTTCTTAGGTGGTGGCTGTTTGTCATGATTGTTTCGGGAGATCGTATTGTGATTTCTGATCGGTTGTGATAGGTTTTGATTCGGTTGATTAGAGAACAGCAATGCTACAATCTCGCTCGGATGTGGCATGAAGTTTGACTTCGGGTGAAGCGCCTGGTGACTTGGATCTGTACGTATACTTGAACATGGAGATGGCCACTGTTCTGTTTCAATGGGTTTCCTTTGCTGCGATGCCAAGTTGTACTTTAAATCCTTTGAGTGTAGTGACTGTAGGCAGCATATCGGATGTGTTTTGCCATTCCGTAGTTGGAGCGTAATTAGGTAGTCAAGTTCTTTGCTTTTGTGATGGTTTTGTCAGTGGTCTAAATGTTTGGTGGTCCATATGTGAGTACTTTGGAGCAACGGAGGGTTTTACTGTAGATTTTAGTGTTACCTGTGGTAATATTGGATTTTTTTGTTTTGGAGTTGTAAGGTTTGGATGAATAGGTGAGATATTTTGTTGTGCTGTAGTGGTTATTGTTTCAACTATTTCTTCAGTTACGAAATGTGATGGAAATTGAAAAACTTTTTGAGTAAGGTTTCCAGTTCCGTTTAGGTTGTCTTGTTGTATGAAAGTGGAATTTCAACTATTGTTTCCTGCTCTATCTGGAAAGAATGAGTTGTAGTTAAAAGGTGTTGCGTCAACTGTAAGTGGATATACCTTAACGAAATTTTTGTCAATAGAGATTGTGCTTATCGCTTGACTTGATATATCTGTTGGTATATTTATAAATAAATCATGAGACTAGTCTGGATCCCAAACATAATCTGTTTGTTCTACTAATATAGTTTCATCGTCTGCGTTTTGTGATCTAAAACTTTTTCTTGCTAGCGATATAAGATCATTATTATGAACAAAATAATCGATTATGAACCATGCTAAGAATTTTTTTAGATCGTGTTTAACATGTTGGGTTATTTCGTTATTACTGAGATTTTTGCAATTTTTGCATAGAAATTTTGAAAATATTCCAATTTCGTGTCTTACGGTTGTATGTCGAGATGTTCGAATTGGCGAATC